CCGAAAACCGACTTCTGCGCATGGGCCACGAAGTTTCAATCGCACTGTACGTGCGTGCCCGCACGTGGTATTTTGTGGAAGAGCCACACTCAAGGGGCCAAAGAGCCGCATGTGGCTCGCAAGCCGCGGTTTGCTGAGCACTGACCTAGCCCATTGCCGTCTCAGAGCCTTCACACCTGTGATCCCTCTGCAGGGACTGCCCTTCCCATCGAACACTGCGTGGCTGGCTCCTTCCCAGCACTTCCCTGACCACATGTCTAAAGAGTCCACTCCAGCACCTCCGCCACCACCACTCTCCCTCCAAACCTGCTTGATCTTTTTCACCCACTTATCAATCTCTAAAATTGCCTGGTTAATTTCTCTGCCACTCGAGTATGGTCTGTTTCCAGCAGGCGGAGGCCAGTGCTGTGCTGGCAGGGACTCAGCCACATGGCTCACCCCCAGCACCCAGCACCCAGCACCCCGCACAGGGCCTGGCACCTAATAGGTGCTCAATCAATACTTGTTGAATGGATGAATGAATGAATGAAAAATGAAGGGAAACCGAAAAGAGGGCCAGGAAGTAGAAAGGCATTTGTTTTTAACATTGGATGCTGGGCCTCTGAGCACCTCTCTCTCTCTCTCCCTGGGGGCTGGGGAGGGGGGCATCTCAGTGCACTATCACAATATACAGGCAGTGATGCAGAGTGGAAATATCATTCGAGACGCGAGGGCCTTGTTAAAGGCTCCCCTGACACCTGCTTCCATGACTCACGCCTGAAAAGTAAGTTTTCCGACTAATTAGCTCTACCTTCCCAGCCCGGGGAGTGTCATAGCGATCGGCACTGCCGTCGTGGTAATAACACGTTAGATTTATGGAATGACCTTTTTTTTCTCCTCCAAAGCGGCTGTGAGAGACAGGGACAACTGAAAATGCTAAGTAGAACGTGACACAGAAAGAGGTATAAAATGGAGCCCTTTAAAAGTCAAAGGGATGGAAAGCAAATACCATTTGGCGGGGGGGAGGAGAAGCTGGGACAAGCACAAGGAGGAGACACCCTCCCCACCCCCACCCCCCCACTGAGGACAGAGGCTGCAGCTGGCTGTGCAGGGAGGAGCAGGGGTCACTGAGACTCGCAATCCCTGGCGTCTCGCAAAGATTCTGACTGAAGCTGGTGGCTGAGGCAGAGGCCAAGGCTTAGGCACCTCTCAGGACCTCCCTTGAGGGTCAGAGGGGCTCTAGATACTGACTTGCACATGCAGAGTGAGGCTCAAAGGCCCTTGGTCCTAATTAAGAACCAGGAGGCCTCAGACAGCTAACTAGCCACTTCTAGGACCCTGACCAAATTGATGATCATGGCTTTTTCACGTTTTTTTAATGATGTGAAATCAGATGCAGAAAACCCGGCTATACATCGGATCGAATAAGGGCTATTGCGCTTGAAGTGTGGGCCACGGCCCCTTGCCCTGCCATGAGGGGGCGTCTCCTTTGACTCTGTACAGGTGACTAACTCCATACAGCCAGGACCGTGTGTGAAAGTCACTGCGCTAAGGGAAATGGCAAGTTTCCAAATTGTTTTATATTTTAGTAAACACGTTATCCTCCATCTCTGATGTAGCTCATCACTTCTGCAAGACTCACAGTGGAGGACTGGGGAGCTGATTTAACAACACAGATTTCCAGGCCTCACCTCTGAGCAGGGCCAGGACTTCTCACCTTGGGCTCAGAATTTTAGGCAGAGCCAAGGAAAAAAAAACAAAAACAAAACAAACAACAACAACAAAAAAAACAGTGATCAAGATAACTCATATTTTAATGCAGTATTTTTAAAAATCAAATTTAATGCCAAAAATCCATGATGAACAAAATATCAAAACTGTAAATAAAGACAGAATCAGCCTTTGTCATGCCACTGCCTAGTTCTGGTCCTGTCCCGACAGCCCTGGCACATCCAGTGACTCAGCACTAATGGGCATCTCCCACGCGTGCAGGTGGGATTCAGCACCTGCACCCACAGCTGCTGGGCAGGGGCACCCTCCCCACCGAAGGGCATCGGGATGGGCACCAGCACCAGCTCTGGCCCCAGTGAGGGTTTTAGAACTAGCCCTGTGCTTGTGGGACGCGCACAGTGATGGGGAGAGACATGCGAACGGGAGAAAGTAATTTCCGGAGGTGAGCGCGAGGCGACCTGGCAGAGACCGACAGGCTGCGGGGAGGTGCAGAGCAGCCACATAGAGGGTCAGGGAAGGACTCTCTGAGAAGGTGACACTGAAAAGGGACCTGGAGGTGGGGGAGGAGCAGTGATCCGAGCAGAGAGAGCAGCCAGTGGAAAGGCCCAGAGGTAGGGCAGACGCGGGCATTTCTCCAGCTGCCAAGGGAGCACGTGGGCACGGGAACCGGCCTTTGCTGGGGGCACCCTTCCTCCCAGGAGAAAAGCCAGATGTGCAAGGAGACATCCTTGAATAAACATTTCTAGAGACTTTACCCTGAAACTGGTGCTGTCAAAGCAACTGGGGACAAAACACGCCACAGAGCTGGGTTCAGTGCCTGCCCAGAGGGCCGATTGCATGATGGAGAAGACACAGGATACAGTATTTCTGCACATGTGTCATGACGGGGGGGGCACTCACCTCCTCCCCCGCTGCAGCCTCATCCTCTCCTGCCTGGATTGTTGCCAAGCCTCCTCCCCGGCTTCCCTGAGCTCTTGCCTCCCTCTCCACCCATTCTTGCACAACAGCAGAGGGACCTGCTAGAACCCAAGTCGGCTCCTGCTCATCCTCCGCTCATAGCAACAAAGCTGGTGACATCCACTCACAGTCAAAGCCAGAGTCTCCCTCGGCCCCACCTCCCTGACCTGGTCTCCTTGCCTCTGCCTCCTCTCTCCTTTCAGATAGACCAGCCCCCTCTCTTCCTGGGACAGACAAGTACAGTAGCACCTCAGGGCCTTTGCACTGGCTGCTTGCTCTGGCTGGAAGACTCTTCCCTAAGGTATCCCCACATCACTAGCTTCATCTCTTCATTCGGTCTCTGCTCAAAAGGCACTTAAACAGAGCGGCCTTAGCTGACCTCCTCCCTGCAGCCCAGTATAAAAGGTCACACTCCCAGCATACACCA